GATCATTCCGGACAAAGCGTCTGGACAAAAAGCAACACGCATTGACAGAATCTACTAACAATCGTCGAGAAAGCAGCGAGATCTCTTCGCAGTACGCACCTCAAAACTCGAGATCAAGGGGTAAATTGTCCCTTTTTCAACCTTATTGAAGCGGCAGGGGATTTTTAATCTTTTGTTCACAGATTTTCACAGTGACTCTTGTCCCCCGTGTCGCGTCTCGCCGCCAGCTTCACTGTTTTCTTTCCCGAGAGCACCGCTTCTCCTCAGACGAACCCCGTGACAAGTCTAGGAATTTACAGACGTAGAACATATGAGGAGAATATAAGTTCAAATAATTTCTTAGTAATTAATCCAATCTTTACGTTTAGAGCTCACGAGACATTTCGAGTTTTCGTGTGTTGTGGCAGTAAGAACCTCAACTCGTGATAACGCGTCATTACCTCGTTGGCAAGGCAAAGAGATTGAAACCCTCTATGCTTCTTTCTTTGGAGCTCGATCTCCTAATCGCCAATATATAGGTAGTTTACATGTGACCATGGTTTCAAGTGTAAAGATTGCTCCAGAGTGAAAAAAAAAAGGGGCTCTCGTTTACTTGGGCAAAGTCATTTGCAACACTATAAACTAGTGACAGATGCAATATGGCCTCCATCTCAATCTTACTCGCACCGTTGTCTGGTGTTGATGATTCGGGTTTAGCTTACCAAGTAAAAATACGGATGCAAACTTTGCATGCGTGCATACAGACTGATTTATATATATATATGCAATGTGCTTCTTCCAGCCTTGCTGTTGTGCCCAACTCTCATTGCCCATGCAAACATCAATAAAAATTTCCCAGAAACATGGCAACCGAACATGCCCCCCACCATTGTAGATATATTATATTATTTATTATTGTCTATACTATTTTAGACTAGTTTGCAAGTTGGCAACAAGTATATAAATACAATTTTCACATAAATAAATAAAAAAATAAGAAACAACTTCAACTTTCCAAGCATTTATCATCAAATTTAAAGTTAGATATTTAATTTTATTTAAAATTAAAATGTTTATAATTTATAAAAATATTAAATATCAACTATTAGAATAAACTAGAATATCCCAGAGTATTCAAGCATATTTTAAGTATATCCACTACCATGAAGCAAATAGAAATAATACTATTATTAAGCAAACTAAATATTGCTGCATACAACACACATTTAAAAATATATATAATATTTTCAAGTATATTTACAAATTAGGAGCTTTTGCTGAATATGGGCATCTAATGCAAGGGAAGACCAAATTTCTCACCCCAGGATTCTCCATGACTGGTTTGTACATATCACCAAAGATTTCTTACAGTTAGAAGGAAGTAGAGTAGCTCCAGTCCTTGCCTCATAGATTTGATGTGCCTGGCAAATGTTGGCAGTGTGCTCCAGCAATCCATCTAGCATGGTGGTGCTTGAGGATAGGCGGCAGAAATGCCTGACGACAAGGGTGTTCTAGTCAGTCCTTGGCCACCATTTTAGTTCTCCGATTGAGGGGGTGTTGAACTTTATCCAAAAGTAAAATAAGGATTATAAACACAGTTGATTATGTTATGTTAGAATATACTCAAACCACAAACCAAAATATTGCTTAATTTGCTTATTTACTAGAGGTGGATATATTCTAAATATATGCTCTCTAGATCCATATTCTAGAATCTCAATCAATGACCTAAAAAAAATTGCTACAGATTACATGTAACAATGCATGATTTGCTTAATAGTAGTGTTATTCTTATTTATTAATCTAATTGCTCAAATAAAGTTTATAATTATAAGCATGTTTGTAATTTATAAACACAAGATTAATCTTATTTTATATCAACCATTAGATGATAGAATAAAAAAGAATATACTAAAAAGGGTTAAGAAATTTTATAAATTATAAATATAAAATTAATCTAAATGAATAACAACCATTGGATGGTAGAATATCCTAAAATATCCAAATATATTTTAAATATATCCACTACCATCATAAGTTTGCTTACATAAAAGTGTTTCACAGCTGTTTATCATGGGACAGGGCAAAAGTATATTGTAGTACTGGTGGAAGTCACACATTCCAAGTCTGGATGCCGTTAATTACATTCTAGGGTGATGAGTTTATTTTTAATATTCTTGCTCCTTGTTCTCTCATTCTCTTCTTCAGTTGTCCCAGTGGTCTCATGCCTCCAGCAAGACCCTCCAAAAACATGTATTAGTGACAAGTAGAAACAATTGTAATAGCATAACTAGCATTTTAGTGACTAGCTTTGTTGTCAAGTTTCCATGTTTTTCTTGCACCCACAAGAGACCCGGATACTGGCAATACCATTGCACCAATCTTCCCTTTTGTTACCAAAACAACATTACAAAGAGCACTAAAGGTCGTGATGATCTTGAAAAAAGAGTAGTTTAGTCTTTTTGGCAAATTCGCCACACATACTCTCCTAACCGCTCAGTCTTCACTTGCCGAAATTCCTCTCAGATCCTTGTGTCTTTGCTTGAGTTCTACCTCCCGAAATTCCTCTGAGCCCCTCATAAATGTTGGCAAGTAGATTGCAATCGGAACTTTAAACATAGAATATCTAAAAGTGAAGCGACAGTGGTTGCCTCCTCCGTGAGAAGCCGCCTTGAGAAACCTAGTATCACAATCTCTGTAGATCTGTGACAACAAGGGAAATCCATTTCTCAAGAGGAGAAAACTAAGAAGTGTTTCTTACCTCGCCATGCCATCTTCTAAAGCACGGAGTTTGACAAGTTTGCCTATCCAAACTAGCGCAAGCTTTCAACGCAGCCACAAAGCTTTCAACCCCGGATCGTTCCATGAATGGAAACAGCTCGACTCGAGAACCAAGCCCGTGCGCTCCGTATCCAAGCATCAAACTGTTCCATGACACAGTCGAAAAATCCAGTGCCCTGTCGAACACTCCGCGAGCGTGCACACTCGGCACGGGCTCGGCACACATGCGAATCAAAACCGCTCGGATTTTCACCGACTCAAACTTGATCACGCGTTTCTTCTCAGTCGCATCATCCAGTACGCTATGCATACCTGGCTTCTCGACAGACTCTTTCCTTCTTGCCCTCTGCGATGTGGATGCATACCTTGATCGCTCCTTCCATCTTTCAGCGCTCTAGACTACCTTAAACCGCACGGAATCTACGCTGTTTAAGCTAACCCAGCCTTTACTTTAGTGCATATATAAATAAATAAGGTCAAGTCCTTTAGGATCGTACGAGCTATGGCGAGAGCAAGCAAGAGAAGTAGAGAAGACGATGGTATCGTGGTGCTGACAAAGAAGCGTCGACTGAGAAGCGAGAGGGCCTGCAAGCTCACGGCCCAAGAGGTGAGGGATCAAAACTTGTACGGCGTGTGGGAGCACCACGACCTTCCGGACAACGTGTACCAGTGCCCAAGGTGCCAATCTTACAACACGCGGTTCGATTACTACAACAACGAGAAGAGTACTGGCAAGCGCGACCAGCCGCGCTACGCTTGTAGGTCGTGCAAGGGAAAATGGACACAAGGTGGCAAGGTAAGGGACGTATCGCTATCGCCCACTGGTGGAAATAAGAGAACTTTAAAGAGCCATGGGGGAGACAAGATCGCTCCAGTCGTCCAGGAAGAATTTGTAGGCGAATCATCTCAAGCTATGGGTGATTTTGTTGTGGGTTTTGATCAAACTACTTATTGGGAGCAAGGTTATGGTGTTGGTGATTGTGCCCAACCTGTATCTCACGAGGCTTTTGATCAAAACAGTTATTGGGAGCTTCTGCCAGGCTTGGGTCAAGGGCCTGTTGGTGATTGTGAGCAAGAACTGTTTGCTCAAACTAGTGAACTTGGCGATGGAGTGTTTGCTGATCAAGTTAGTCAGGAGTTTCTTGGTGGGGTTCAAGGTGGAGATGCGCAAACCAATTGCTGGGGGCAACCTCAAGAATTCAACGATGTGTTTCTTGATATTGAGGGATTTCTGGCAGACCTGCCAGAAATACAAGCTTGCTGATTCATGGAAATTTTTTTTAAAAGAATTTATAGTTGGATCCCAGGGTCTCCAGAGAGTTTTCATTTGTTTGATGAGTAGAAGCCTACATAGAATTATATTTCAATCTGTATGTCAAATAATTTAGAATATGAAAAGCCGCAAAGATAAGAAAAAATATATACTTTTTCTTTCTCTCTCTCAAAATTGTTTCCTGTCCACCAGTAAGCCGACGAAGAAGGAGCTCACAGAAACCGCGACAATGGTTGCTCCCAGGAACCCGGAGGAAGCCTTGCCCTGCTTTCCCACCACTTTGTCCTTGCCACTGCTCGTCTCCTCCTCCACAACTCCCGCGGAAGAAGCCGCTCCTTTCCTCCTCCTCGGCGTTGCCTTGAGAGCTCCGGTATCAAAATCTCTGGAGATACTTCTCATCTGTGACGAAGATGAAAATCCATGTCTTAGCAGCAAGCGAGGAAGAAGGAGAGAAAACTATAGAAGTGTGGTTCCTTACCTCGACTTCTTCAACGGCTGGCTCCGCCGGACGAGTCTCCAACTTCTTGGCAAACGCTCCATTTACGTGGATCTCACTCAGCTTCTTACGAAGATCCTCTCTCTCGCCTTTGACACTAGATATCTGGCGTCCATCACAAAGTATTAGAAGGAAAGAAGAAGACCAAGCAAGAGTTACCTCATTATGCTTTTCCTTGGAAAACTCTTCGCTCATCGCGCTTAGCTTGGCGAGGAGCGACTTGGTGTCCGATGCGTAGCCATCTCGCTGCTGGGCCTCGCTCTCCTGCATTCGCGAGATCGTCTTCTCCTGCTCAGAAATGAGTCGAGCTGCTTCGTCCAGTTTTTCCTCCAGAGAGCTCGCCACACCTTGGACCTTCACGAGCTCTGCTTGAAAGTTTGATGCCATAGCCTCGGCTTCCTTCTCGAGCTCTTGCACCTTCTTACTTTCAGCGTCTTTGGATCTCGCAGCCTCTTGTTTGGTGGCCTCGAGCACCTCCTCCGTATTAGCCAGCTTCTCCGCCAGCTTCTCGATGGTACTCTCCAGAGCGGTGATCTTCTCCGCTGCGGCTCTCTGGCTCTCCCCTGCGTCAGCCTGATGCTTTGCCGTAGCTTCTTCTGCGCTCGAAAGCTTGCCTCGCAGTTCTGCCTCGGCTTGGAAAGCCGACTTGAGAGTCTCCTCTTGGCCAGCCAAGGTCTCTTTCAAAGCTGTCAGCTTGGAGTTCACAGCCGAGAGCTCCTGCTCTCTTTCCGAGGCCACCTTTTCTCGTTCGCCTGCTGTTGCCTCGTGCATTGCTGAAGTTTCTTCTGCGAGCTTGAGCTGTTGACGTAGCTCCGCCTCGGTGTCAACAGCCGCCTTCAGAGTTTCTTCCTGGCTCGCCAGAACCTTCTCTAGAGATGCCAGTTTCGAATGTAAACTCGACATCTCCTCCCCCAGCTCCGTAACCTTCTTGTTGGAGACGTTGGCGAGCTCTTCGTAATGCGCAGATTTGCTCTCGGCAGCTTCGACGCTCCCTTGAAGTGTCACATGCATTTGACGAGAGCTCTCCACAACTCCTTCGAGCTCGGAAGCCTTTGCCGCGTGAGTGGAAAGTTCTGCCTGGATTTCACGCAGCTTGTCCTCGAGCTGCGCAGATTTCTGGCTATACTCGTTGCTGGACTTCTCGTGAATCGCAGACGTCTCCTCCACCGTCCGAAGCTTGTGTTCAAGTTCCTTCTCTCTTTCCACGCCGGAGCTCAAATCTCTCGCAAGAGCTTCGTGTCTAGAGGACGCCTCCTCCGTCTGTCTCGTCAGTGATTCTTGAAGCTCATTCAATGCCGCTTTATAATCTGCCTCTTGCTTTTCACCCGCTGCTCTGGACGCTTCGAGCTGCTCAGCGAGCTTCGCTTCCCTGTCCTTGGAATCTTGAAGCTCCGCTTGCAGTTTTGTAGTCAATTCTGCGGCTTCGTTAGCTTGACTTTGAAGAGCCAGGAGAGACTCTTTTAACTGCGAGGTCGTTGCCGAGGACTCTTCCAAGCTTCGCTCGTAGTTTTGGTATTTCTCGTCGGCCAGGCTCAGCTTCTCATGGAGTTCCTTTTGAAGATCGTCGTGCTTTGCCTGAATGCCAGCTGCAGTCGCCACGTGTTTCTCTGCTGTTGACTTTGCCTCTTCCAAATCACTCCGCAAGCCACTAATCACAAGCTCGCTCGACTTAAGCTTTTCTTCAGAAGCAGCGGCAATGGCTTCGATACTTGTCAGGCTCTCGCTAAGTTCCGCCACCTTCATCAGATGCTTTTGAGCATCACCTTCGTGGCCTGCGGCAGATTCCTCTGCGGAGCGCAACTTGGACTCCAATGCCGTGATCTTGCTCTCGGCGTCAGCTGCCGTCTGTTGAAGAAGCTGTAGTTGAGCTTCTGTTTCCTTCAAGATCGCCTCAATTTTGGAAGCGGCTGCCACCTTTTCTTTCAAGTCTTCGCATTCGGCCTGCCATGATTTGCTGCTTTCTTCAGCAGCATCTCCTCTCGCCTGAGCTTCTTGAAGAAGACGCTCAACATCTTTCTCTTTTTCCATCCACTCCTTAGCCTATTCCTCTTGGACCGAAACGTTCTTCTTATACGTTTCAACCTCCTCGAGAGAATCCTTCGCATTCTTCTCGAGAAGAAGATAGCGTACTGGATGATGCGACTGAGAAGAAACGCGTGGTCAAGTTTGAGTCGGTGAAAATCCGAGCGGTTTTGATTCGCGTGTGTGCCGAGCCCGTGCCGAGTGTGGACGCTCGTGGAGTGTTCGACAGGCTGGATTTTTCGACTGTGTCATGGAACAGTTTGATGCTTGGATACAATGTGCGGCTCGCCGTTTTTTCAGTGTAGGCCTGGATCATAGTCGGAGGAATGAACGCCTGTCAAACACGGCACTTCCATCTTCAACAAGGTGCTGACAAAGGCATCTGTGTCACAGCCACAGCTCGTCGCTCTGGACAGCGTGGATGGAAATGCCTATAGATTGATCTTGAGCTTCACCAGTTTTCCATCATCAACCTTTAGCGCCTTGATTGTATTATTAGTGGGAATCTACGCTTTTTAAGCTAACCCAGCCTTTACTTTAGTGCATATATAAATAAATAAGGTCAAGTCCTTTAGGATCGTACGAGCTATGGCGAGAGCAAGCAAGAGAAGTAGAGAAGACGATGGTATCATGGTGCTGACAAAGAAGCGTCGACTGAGAAGCGAGAGGGCCTGCAAGCTCACGGCCCAAGAGGTGAGGGATCAAAACTTGTACGGCATGTGGGAGCACCACGACCTTCCGGACAACGTGTACCAGTGCCCAAGGTGCCAATCTTACAACACGCGGTTCGATTACTACAACAACGAGAAGAGTACTGGCAAGCGCGACCAGCCGCGCTACGCTTGTAGGTCGTGCAAGGGAAAATGGACACAAGGTGGCAAGGTAAGGAACGTATCGCTATCGCCCACTGGTGGAAATAAGAGAACTTCAAAGAGCCATGGGGGAGACAAGATCACTCCAGTCGTCCAGGAAGAATTTGTAGGCGAATTATCTCAAGTTATGGGTAATTGTGTTGTGGGTTTTGATCAATCTATTTATTGGGAGCAAGGTTATGGTGTTGGTGATTGTGCCCAACCTGAGGCTTTTGATCAAAACAGTTGTTGGGAGCTTCTGCCAGCCTTGGGTCAAGGACCTGTTGGTGATTGTGTGCAAGAAGTGTTTGCTCAAGCTAGCGAGCTTGGCGATGGAGTGTTTGCTGATCAAGTTAGTCAGGAGTTTGTTGGTGAGGTTCAACGTGGAGATGTGCAAACCAATTGCTGGGGGCAACCTCAAGAATTCAATGATGTGTTTCTTGATATTGAGGGATTTCTGGCAGACCTGCCAGAAATACAAGCTTGCTGATTCATGGAAATTTTTGTCAAAAGCTCTTATATATAGTTGCCAATTTTTTCAGAATTTTTGGTTTTCTTAAGTAAGGGTAATGAATATATCTAGAATATACTTGAATTTTCTGGGATATTCTACCATTTAACAGTTGTTATTAATTTATATTTAATCTTGAATTTATAATTTATAAACACATTTATAAAATATAAAGTTATTCTAATTTATTCTACTATTTAATGGTTGATATATAATAAGACTAATCTTGTGTTTATAAATTTTAAACTTCCATTTGATCAACTATATTAAAAATTTGTTGTGCATTGCATGCAGCAAAGCTTGGTTTGCTTAATAATAATGCTTATTATTTTTTAATTATATTGATCAATTGTTCTACTATTTAATGGTTGATATATAATAAGATTAATCTTGTGTTTATAAATTATAAACTTCCATTTGATCAACTAGATTAAAAATTTGCTGTGCATTGCATGCAGCAAAGCTTGGTTTGCTTAATAATAGTGCTTATTATTCATTAATTATATTGATCAATTTTATGATTATAACATGTTTATAATTCATAAACACAAGATTAAATATCAACTTTCAGAAGAAACTAAAATATGCTAGAAAGTGTTTAGGAATGTTTATAAATTATAAATACATGATTAATTTAAATGAATAACAACCATTAGATAGTAGAATATCCCAGAGTATCCAAGTATATTCTAAGTATATTCACTACCACTAAGCAAACCAATAAATAGAAATAATACTATTATTAAGCAAACTAAATATTGCACACACATTTTAAAAATATACAAATTAGGAGTTTTTGCTGAACATGGGCAAAATTTCTCACCCCAGGATTCTTCATGACTGGTTTGTAGGATTGACTAGAACACCCTTGTCGTCAGGCATTTCTGCCACCTGTTCTCAAGCATCACCATGCTAGATGGATTGCTGGAGCACACTGCCAGCATTTGCCAGGCACATCAAATCTTCTACCTGGTCAGCCTGAGGGCAAGGACCGGAGCTTCTCTGCTTCCTTCTAACTGTAAGAAATCTTTGGTGATCCATTCTAGTTCTCCGATTTTGAACTTTATCCAAAAGTAAAATAAGCAATCTGAGAGGAATTTCGGCAAGCGAAGACTGGTTAGGAGCCAAAAAAACTAAACTATTCTTTTTTCAAGGAGATCAAACTTTCCAAAAGCAATCACGACCTTTAGTGCTTTTATAATGTAAGATTGGTGCAAGTACCCGCACTATCAGGGTCTCTTGTGGACTGACAACAAAGCTAGTCACTAAAATGTTAGTTATGCTATTACAATTGTTCCTACTTGTCACTAATACATGTTTTTAGATGCTAGAGGCATGAGGCCACTGGGACAACTGAAGAAGAGAATGAGAGAACAAGGAGCAAGAACATTGAGAATAAACTCATCACCCTAGAATGTAATTGACGGCATCCAGACTTGGAATGTGTGACTTCTACCAGTAGTACAACATACTTTTGCCCTGTCCCTACCAACACCACGATAGGGGAGCTACAGCTACTTTAAAAAACGGGAAGGTGGAGGTATAAAGAATGTCTGATACCGCGGCATATTCTGTGCCACCACCTTGCTCATGTTTTTTAGGTCATTTGGGAGAATATGGATCTAGAGAGCATAACCTCTAAAGTAGATAACATAACATAACATATCCCGTCGTGGGGCCCGCCGATCAAATTAAGCTATTTTGGTTTGTGGTTTGAGTATATTCTAACATAACATAATCTTGAGTTCCCGAAATTCCATAAATGTTGGCAAGTACATGTAATTAAAAGCACAAAACATAATATCTAAAAGTGAAGCGACAGTGGTTGCCTCCTCTGTGAGAAGCCGCCTTGAGAACCCTAGTATCACAATCTCTGTAGATCTGTGACAACAAGGGAAATCCATTTCTCAAGAGGAGAAAACTAAGAAGTGTTTCTTACCTCGTCAAGTTCTTCTATGTTTGGCTCCGCCAGACGAGTCTTCGATCATTTCCTGGAGACCAGGAATAAGAGTTTGCCTCACAAGTCACCATGTTGAGAGGATGAGCACTCGTGACACCTTTCAGCTCCATCCGAAAGAAGAGTTCCAAAGCGATAGCCATGCCATCTTCTAAAGCACGGAGTTTGACAAGTTTGCCTATCCAAACTAGCGCAAGCTTTCAACGCAGCCACAAAGGTGAGAAAACCCCGGATCGTTCCATGAATGGAAACAGCTCCACTCGAGAACCAAGCCCGTGCGCTCCGCTCTCAATTTGTTTTCACGCATGAGAACTATTTACTGTCAGCCATCCTCGAACGATTGTGGCTACGTTGAAGGCCTGCTCCCTCCTGGCAACCGAAGAAGATAGCGTACTGGATGATGCGACTGAGAAGAAACGCGTGATCAAGTTTGAGTCGGTGAAAATCCGAGCGGTTTTGATTCGCATGTGTGCCGAGCCCGTGCCGAGTGCCGAGTGTGGACGCTCGTGGAGTGTTCGACAGGCTGGATTTTTTAACTGTGTCATGGAACAGTTTGATGCTTGGATACAATGCGTGGCTCGCCGTTTTTTCAGTGTAGGCCTGGATCATAGTCGGAGGAATGAACGCCTGTCAAACACGGCACTTCCATCTTCAACAAGGTGCTGACAAAGGCATCTGTGTCACAGCCACAGCTCGTCGCTCTGGACAGCGTGGATGGAAATGCCTATAGATTGATCTTGAGCTTCACCAGTTTTCCATCATCAACCTTTAGCGCCTTGATTGTATTTACAGCCAAACCATTTGCCATACATTGTGATGAGAATACTTGCGCATGCCTGGCTTCTCGACAGACTCTTTTCTTCTTGCGCGCTGCGATGTGGATGCCGCATATCCATCCATCTTTCGACTGATATTCTTACCTTAAACCGTCCAGGATTAGTGGGAATATACGCTGTTTAAGCTAACCCAGCCTTTACTTTAGTGCATATATAAATAAATAAGGTCAAGTCCTTTAGGATCGTACGGGCTATGGCGAGAGCAAGCAAGAGAAGTAGAGAAGACGACGGTATCATGGTGCCGACAAAGAAGCGTCGACTGAGAAGCGAGAGGGCTTGCAAGCTCACGGCCCAAGAGGTGAGGGATCAAAACTTGTACGGCGTGTGGGAGCACCACGACCTTCCGGACAACGTGTACCAGTGCCCAAGGTGCCAATCTTACAACACGCGGTTCGATTACTACAACAACGAGAAGAGTACTGGCAAGCGCGACCAGCCGCGCTACGCTTGTAGGTCGTGCAAGGGAAAATGGACACAAGGTAGCAAGGTAAGGGACGTATCGCTATCGCCCACCGGTGGAAATAAGAGAACTTTAAAGAGCCATGGGGGAGACAAGATCGCTCCAGTCGTCCAGGAAGAATTTGTAGGCGAATCATCTCAAGTTATGGGTGATTATGCTGCGGGTTTTGATCAAACTATTTATTGGGAGCAAGGTTATGGTGTTGGTGATTGTGCCCAACGTTTATCTCACGAGGCTTTTGATCAAAACAGTTATTGGGAGCTTCTGCCAGGCTTGGGTCAAGGGCCTGTTGGTGATTGTGTGCAAGAAGTGTTTGCTCAAACTAGCGAGCTTGGCGATGGAGTGTTTGCTGATCAAGTTAGTCAAGAGTTTGTTGGTGGGGTTCAAGGTGGAGATGTGCAAACCAATTGCTGTGGGCAACCTCAAGAATTCAATGATGTGTTTCTTGATATTGAGGGATTTCTGGCAGACCT